GCTTCCCAAACTATTCCACTTACTGACTAATCTGTGGCTGAAGAAATACTTCCTAACATCCCTGTGATTCATCTGTGTCTTCAGCTTCCAACTGTGTCCCCTTGTTACTGTGTCCAATCTCTGGAACATCCTGTCTTTGTCCACCTTGTCAATTCCTCTCAGTATTTTGTGTGTCGTTATCATGTCCCCCCTATCTCTCCTGTCCTCCAGTGTCGTCAGGTTGATTTCCCTTAACCTCTCCTCGTAGGACATACCTCTTAGCTCTGGGACTAGTCTTGTTGCAAACCTTTGCACTTTCTCTAGTTTCTTCACGTGCTTGGCTAGGTGTGGGTTCCAAACTGGTGCCGCATACTCCAATATGGGCCTAACGTACACAGTGTACAGGGTCCTGAATGATTCCTTATTAAGATGTCGGAATGCGTGTGTGTGTGTGTGTGTGTGTGTGTGTGTGTGTGTGAAATGTAAAAATATTTTTCCTCAGGAGGGCAACGTGTGACGGACTCTAACCCGTACCCCCTACATCCAGGTTAGGATGTTTAGGTTAAGAGGCGGGGCCAGGAGCTGAGATTGTTACCACACACACACACACACACACACACACACACACACACACACACACACACACACACACACAGCGAGAGTGATTTTCTCTCATTTGGAAAGGCGAAGAGACGGAATCTAACAATACAAGGTCGGGAGAGAGTTCGAGTGGTAGAGAAAATTGGAAGCGAAAAGGTGAAAGGCTGGGTATGGCGAGTGAAACTTCAACGTTGCTCTCCACTCTCACTTTCGCTTTGGCCGAAATGTTTGAGAAAGCGAAAGTGGACGATGGAGAGAGAAAGGGCGGAAAAAGTGAAAGGCTGGAAATTACTGAAGGTCGCTGAAGCAGAGTGTACACCAGAGAGAGAGAGAAATAGAGGCATTATCCTGTTCCCTAATTGTATGTCTCATAACGACAAAAAAGGGCTTTTAAATGAGCTGATGTAGGTCACAGCTCTTAGCTTGTCAGTAAAGTTAGAAATCCTTATCCTTACCTAGTCAGACCCTGTGTAAAACAAAAAAAAATAGACAAACAGATAAAGAGACGCGCGCACACACACACACAAACACACACACACACACACACACACACACACACACACACACACACACACACACACACACACACACACACACACACACATACACACACACTGATATAGAGACAGTCATTGCCTGAAAACGAGACAAGTGACCCTGATACAGGAACACTCTGAACATAAGAATCTTGGAAAGTTATTTGTTTTCATTTAGAAAGGCGAACTGTAGATGAAAGCGAATAGTTCAAGGTCACGAGAAGGTCCAGGCGCTGGAGAAAGCTGAGGACGTGACGGTGAAAGGTTGAGGGAAGGTAAGTGAAACTCCCACGATGATGATGGTCACTCTCACTTTCTGGTCAAAGGAAAGGCATGTGAAAGTTGACGATAGATAGGAGGAGATAGGATAAAGACTGGTGGAGCGAGTCACTGGCAAGGTCACTCAAGGTCTCACTGGGAGAGTCTACACACCGGTGGTACCAGCATTTGTAAGCCAGTGGTCGCTGCTGCTGTATGACATGTCACTGGGCGACTCACGAAATCGTAATGACACGATTGCAAACAAACCATAACACGGGCGGGGTTAGAACCCGCGATCAGAGAGTTTTGAGACTCTGATCGCGGGTTCTAACCCCGCTCGTGGTATGGTTTTATATCACTGGACTTTCAGCTGTCTCTCCTTCACGTTGTCTTTGATAAGATGGCAATTTCAAAGTGATAGTAACTCCAGCTGTGCTGGAACGAAATATCTGAAGCTTCCAATAGATATTGAATCTTTAATGAAGTACTCGACAATATCCTCTTTTTTTCTACTGAAGTCTTCCAGCTCAAGCTGACACATTTCAACACCTTGAATGAGCCCCGTCCTGCGTGATGGAATTTAACAGGGAAACATAGCTAGCTTTTACACTAACCCGCACATAGAGAGAAGCTTACAACGACACAGATTCCCTGTTATGAGTGTTCATTTATCGACAATGTTTCGCCCACACAGTGGGTTTTTTTCAAGTCACAGGATAAAGTGGATGAGCAAATACAATATACATCTGGAGTTTATCTGGAGATAAACTCCAGATGTATACAGTTTTTTCTGTCGCTTGAAAAAACCCACAGCGTGGGAAGGGGAGGAGTTCATTTGGGTTACACTTGGAGTCCCTGACGGAATGTAATGAAGTATGATTTCTGATTCCTCCCTATTAGAGACCTGGGTTAGCCTAGGTCAGTGGTTCCCAAACTTTTTCAGCTTGTTACCCAATTTAACATTCCACATAAAGCATGTTACCCCTTTCACAAAATGTTGTTATTATTGATATATATGGCTAAACGTGAACGTATACAGCCTCGCATACTCTGCTAATCCTAGCAAAACCATTGAAAACGTAAGAACCACACATACATTATATATAAAATTAATAATAGCTACAAATTCACAGTAACAGTGGGTAAATACTAACTATATACTGCACAGGGCAGTACACATACATACCAGCTTATGTCTACCTCGGCTGATGCTCACAGATAAACTGACAGTGTGAAATAGAGGCAGCCTCAAGAAGTGAGTGACACGTACTGGACAGGTCGATCTGGGCAACTGAGTGACTTTTGTCCTGAAGCATACTTGTCAAAATACTTTTGGGTTTCCACACACTTAGATATATATTTCTTCTTTTCTAATACTGTATATTAGTTTTTGATGTTTATTGTTATTTGGTTTAACTTTATTACTTACTTACAACTTTATATACTAAGACAAAGTTAACAATAATCCTCATACCGGGTACCGCATTGTTTTCTTGATTTTCAGAATTCATAACTTTTTTTCTGTCACCCCTCCATTACCCCCCAAAAATGGTTAAATTACCCCCAGGGGGTAATTTACCCCCAGTTTGGGAACCACTGGCTAGGTGGCAGAGCGTTGGACTGTCAATTTACGACCCGAGGTTCGAGCTCCTAGTCCACCCTGTTGTTTATTCATTTCACACACACACACACACAATATATAATATATATATACATATATATATATATATATATATATATATATATATATATATATATATATATATATATATATATATATATATATATATGCAATAAGATCACAGTAAACAGGTGATTTCAGAATATGCAAAACAACCACTGTGAAAGAATAGAGAAATTCCAAGCGCTTTCGTGACTACTCACATTATCAAGGAACTTGATAATGTGAGTAGTCACGAAAGCGCTTGGAATTTCTCTGTTCTTTCACAGTGGTTGTTTTGCATATATATATATATATATATATATATATATATATATATATATATATATATATATATATATATATATATATATATATATATATTGTGTGTGTGTGTGTGTGTATCAAGGGCACAGATATAACAAGTGGTGTAATTACATAAAGACGAATGCGCGAATTATAAGAAAGAACGCTGCAACAGGCCTACTGGCCTATGCGAGGCAGCTCCAATTCTCCCACAGGCTTAAGCCAATGCCTTGACCTAGTGAGGTCAGACACGTCACTTAAGGGAGGAGCAGTGCATCCGACCTAGTAGCGCAAGCTAGTCAGGTCCAACTCACACCCACCACTCATGTATTTATCCAACCTATTTTTAAAACTACACAACATCTTAGCGTCTATGACGGTACTCGGGAGTTTGTTCCACTCATCCACAACTCTATTACCAAACCAGTGCTTTCCTATATCCTACCCGAATCTGAATTTTTCCAGTTTAAAGCCATTGCTGTGAGTCCTGTCTATGTTAGATATATTTAGCACGCTATTTACATTCCCTTTATTAATTCTGTTCTCCATTTATACACCTCAATCATATCCCCCCTAATTCTACACCTTTCGAGAGAGTACAGATTCAGGGCCTCAGTCTATCCTCATAGGGAAGATTTCTGATACATGGGATCAACTTTGTCATCCTTCTTTGTACGTTTTCCAGTGCATTTATATCCATTCTGTAATACCGTGACCCAAATTGTGCAGCATAATCTAAATGAGGCCTAACCAAGGATATATAGAGTTGAAGAACAACCTGAGGACTTCTATTATTTATGCTTCTAGATATGAAGCCAAGAATTCTGTTAGTTTTATTGCGAACACTAATGCACTGTTGTCTTGGTTTTAGATTACTACTAACCAGAACTCCTAAATCCTTTTCGCAATCCGTAATATTAAGATCTACATATTTGGTTTATATGTAGCATGGTTATTTTCCTGTTCAACATTTAGAACTTTGCATTTGTCTAAATTAAACTGCATCTGACATTTCTCGTTCGGCTGAGGGCATTATCGTGAGGTTTTTGTACTACTAGAGATGTCATTCTCTCATTCTTTCTCCTGCAGCTACCACTGAAATACGTAACTTTCACTTTATTTCCTTTACGGCTGGCCTTACCTCCTTCCCTATGTGCATTACTTGCAACTTGGGCGATTTTTTTTTTTGAGTGAATCTTTCGTAACAGTGTCTTTTGTTTACCATACCATTTAATTTGCAGTGGTAGCCTCTCAATTCCGCAACTATCAAGAGTCTCTCAAAAGCCTGTTATTCTCTTTCAATTCATAGGATATGTCACGCCTTCGCAAGTAATTTATTTTTACTTTAAACAGCATAGGCTGTAAGTATCGTATGAACGAAATCTAGACACAGATGAAATCATTCTAACTCCCAGGAAAAAATGTATAACCCTCAAATTAACAAATTTAATAATGAGGCATTCGTACCACGGACCTCTTATTTATATATTTGTTGTTAAACCCACACCCACGCTCGCCCTCACCTCCTTCATCACACCCTTTACCCCCTCCTTACACTCAACTTCTCCCTCCCTCATCACCTCTCCTTCCTCCGTCTCACCCCACTCCACAACCCCAAATCACTCCACCCTATCACACCCTCCGGGCCAAACAGAGAGCGACTGTAAGGACGTGATGGCGCGACCAGTGTGTGTCTAGCATTGAGGAGACTGTTGGTGCTGATCCTTCCTGTTGCTGAGGCCACAGCTCAACACCCACACCAGAGGTACACTTCCAACACCCCCTCCAAGTGTACTAGTGGGAGCTGATAAGGTGTATTGGGGGTGGGTAGTACCGTATACTGGTGGCAGGTGGCAAGGTGTTTGTACTGCTCCAGGTGTACTGGAGGTAGGTCGTGAGGTATAGTGGCAAATGTAGCGATAGTTGGTAAGGTAATGTAAGGGAAGGCAAGCAGTGAAATATAGAAGAGTAATGTGTAAAGTGTGTAAGTGTATGTGTAAAGATGTGTACACAGATCTCGGTACAGCTGTGGATGTCAAGTGTTGGCAAGTGCAGCGGTGAGCAACACGTTCATATGTATGACTTTGTGTGAGTGTCTACTTGTGTTATATATATATATATATATATATATATATATATATATATATATATATATATATATATATATATATATATATATATATATATATAATATATATATATATATATGTATTAGATTTGTTTACAATAATTTGATACTAAACAAACACAGTGAGATATGTTTTTTTCGTTAGGTTCAGAATGATTTTGGCGAAATTATTGCATACACAAATTTTCACTTGTCCTATATGGCAAGATGAGCGTTGCTATTTAAGCCAAGATGGCAAGTTCTGCCTATTCGGCACGACACACACACACACACACACACACACACACACACACACACACACACACACACACACACACACACACACACACACACACACACACACACACACATATATATATATATATATATATATATATATATATATATATATATATATATATATATATGTCAAGTGGGTTTTCGATAACGTGGATGGGGTAAGAATACTCACGTAGGCTGGTAGTACGTATAATATAACGGAAAGTATGGGAAGGCACCAACAGCCGTCCTGCCTCTCTCTGCTCCCTATCTTCGACTGACCCACAAGTGCCTACGGGTGAGGGTGTTTGAAATCCTGCTATGGTCAGCAGCAATATGAATAATAGTAATTCACACAGACGGTTTGGTAGTAAGTCATCTACTGGTACACTGGTTACTGGTTACTAGGAACTGGTACTACTACTGAGATATATATATATATATTTATATATATATATATATATATATATATGTGTGTGTGTGTGTGTGTGTGTGTGTGTGTGTGTGTGTGTGCGTGTGTGTGTGTGTGTGTGTGTGTGTGTGTGTGTGTGTGTGTGTGTGTGTGTGTGTGTGTGTGTGTGTGTGTGTGTGTGTGTGTGTGTGTGTATGTATGTCGTGCCGAATATGTAAAACTGGTGAATTAGCAAGAACTCATTTAAAATTAAGTCCTTTCTGAAATTTTCTCTTATACGCTTAAAAATATATTTTTTTCATTAATGTTAATGTAAAAATTTGTAATTTTGCACCAAAAGAAACTTAGAAAACTTACCTAACCTTATTATAACAAGAACAATATATTTTAACCTAACCCAACTAAATATATTTTAGATTTGTTTACAATAATTTGATACTAAACAAACACAGTGAAATATATTTTTTTCGTTAGGTTCAGAATGATTTTGGCGAAATTACTGCATACGCAAATTTTCACTTGTCCTATATGGCAAGATGAGCGTTGCTATTTAAGCCAAGATCGCAGGTTCTGCCTATTCGGCACGACATATATATATATATATATATATATATATATATATATATATATATATATATATATATATATATATATATATATATATATATATTATATATATATATATATATATACATACATATCGTGCCGAATAAGCAAAATTGATTAATTAGCAAGAACTCGTTTAAAATTAAGTCCTTTCTAAAAATTTTCTCTTATACTTTTAAAGATATATTTTTCATTTATGTTAATGGAAAAATAATAATCGTGGAGAACTAGATCGATAAGTACACTTTCCTGCATGAAACAACATATTTCAATCGTTACTTATCTGTGGATTATTAAGTATATTAGAAAACAATTTGCCCCAAAGGAGCGTATATCTGAGCATTTCACTGGGTCTGAAATGCTTAGCTGTGCTCACTTGGTTTGGGTGGAATCACCCACACATGACGGCATGAAATAGGACAGCCCTAATCACCTTGTGTTTGCCTAAAACTGCAGTTTTATAATCGGCTTTTATGGCGTTGACAGTGCCATTTAAGGCTGATATTGGTGACTTGACTGAAGGCTTGAGTGTCTCGGGGAATGTTGCTCTTGTTCGCCACCACTTCAGGAATGTTCGTTGCAATTGCTCGCAATACAGGTTGCACTTCACCTTCCAGATCCATCATTTGTTCATAGTTTCGTGGTATTATCCACAACAGGAAGAACACGGATACACAATAACACTACAAGGAGAGGAAAGTGCGCCTTGTGATGCTATTATGGTACGAACGTGTGGGTTTGATAAATCTGTTTGAGAGGAAGAAAGAGTCCACTAGCCCCTGCCAGGAGGGTTAAGTCCCTCAGAGAGCTGAGGGATACCCTCATTATTGGAGAATTTTCTCCACACTGGGGGGTGGGCGAAAGTTCACCGTAGGTGAGCTATTCATCTTTTAACATCATTTGATTTTCTCACTCGCCATCTGTGGGATTTCTGGAGAATCACTAAGTTTGTTTTCAACACTGCGTAATTCTGATGGCACCAGTTTATCTATTTTCCTCTTATTCACTGCACCTTTGCTCAAAACTTCAGCTGTCCTGATGGTTCCATTTGCATCAGGATGTTACCTGGAGGTTACCTGGAGGTTATTCCGGGGATCAACGCCCCCGCGGCCCGGTCCATGACCAGGCCTCCCGATGGATCAGGGCCTGATCAACTAGGCTGTTACTGCTGGCCGCACGCAGTCCAACGTACGAGCCACAGCCCGGCTGATCCGGCACTGACTTTAGGTATCTGTCCAGCTCTCTCTTAAAGGCAGCCAGGGGTTTATTGGCAATTCCCCTAATGCTTGATGGGAGGCTGTTGAACAGTTTTGGGCCCCGGACACTTATGGTGTTTTCTCTTAGTGTACCAATGGCGCCCCTACTTTTTATTGGGGGCATTTTGCACCGCCTGCCCAGTCTTTTACTTTCGTAGGGAGTGATTTCTGTGTGCAGATTTGGGACCATTCCTTCCAAGATTTTCCAAGTGTAGATTATGATATATCTCTCCCTCCTGCGTTCCAACGAGTACAAGTCAAGTGCTTCCAAGCGTTCCCAGTAGTTAAGGTGCTTGACAGAACTTATACGTGCAGTAAAGGATCTCTGTACACTCTAGATCTGCGATTTCACCTGCTTTGAATGGAGATGTTAATGTACAGCAGTATTCCAGCCTAGAGAGAACAAGTGATTTGAAAAAGGATCATCATGGGCTTGGCATCTCTCGTTTTGAAAGTTCTCATTATCCACCCTATCATTTTCTTTGCATGTGCGATCGTGGCACTGTTGTGATCCTTGAAAGTGAGATCCTCAGACATTACTACTCCCAGGTCCCTTACATTATTTTTCCGCTCTATTGTATGGCCGGAGTCAGTAGTATACTCTGTTCTAGTTATTATCTCCTCCAGTTTTCCATAACGGAGTAGTTGGAATTTGTCCTCATTGAACATCATATTGTTTACCGTTGCCCACTGGAAAAACTTTGTTTATATCTTCTTGGAGGTTAACCGCGTCCTCAGCAGATGACAGCTAATGCAGATCCTAGTATCATCCGCAAAGGATGATACGGTGCTGTGGTGTATATCTCTGTTTATGTCTGATATGAGGATAAGGAATAAGATGGGGGCGAGTACTGTGCCTTGTGGAACAGAGCTCTTCACTATGGCAGCCTCCGATTTAACTCTGTTGACCACTACTCTTTGTGTTCGATTTGTTAGGAAGTTGAAGATCCATCTCCCCACTTTCCCAGTTATTCCTTTAGCACGTATTTTATGGGCTATTACGCCATGATCGCATTTGTCAAATGCTTTTGCAAAGTCTGTGTATATTACATCTGCATTCTGATTTTTCTTCCAGTGCATCCAAGGCCATGTCATAGTGATCCAGTAGTTGTGAGAGGCAGGAGCGACCTGCCCTGAACCCATGCTGCCCTGGATTGTGCAGATTTTGGGAATCCAGGTGATTTGCAATCCTGCTTCTTAGCACTCTTTCAAAGATTTTTATGATGTGGGACGTCAGAGCTATTGGTCTATAGTTCTTAGCTAATGCTTTGCTGCCACCTTTATGGAGTGGGGCTATATCCGTTGTTTTAAGTGACTGTGGAATTTCACCCATGTCCAAGCTCCTCCTCCATAGTGTACTTAGGGCACGCGAGAGGGGTTTCTTGCAGTTCTTAATGAAAACAGAGTTCCACGAGTCTGGGCCCGGGGCTGAGTGCATAGGCATGTTGTCAATGGCTTTTTCGAAATCTATCGGAGTTAGGGTAATATCGGAAATCTGGCATACATTTATGGAGTTTTGAGGCTCATTCATGAAGAAATCATTTGGGTCGTCGATCCTCAGACCGATTAGTGGTTCATTAAACACAGAGTCGTACTGGGATTTCAATATTTCACTCATTTCCTTGTTGTCATCTGTGTAAGTCCCTTCCTGTCTGAGTAAGGGCCCGATACTAGATGTGGTATTTGCCTTGTTTTTGGCATATGAAAAGAAATATTTTGAATTTCTTTCAATTTCACTAATAGCTTTAAGCTCCTCCTGCCTCTCCTGGTTCCTGTAAGAGTCATTTAGCTTAAGTTCGATAGTTTCCACTTCCCTGGTCAGCGCCTCCTTTCGTGTATCAGATATTCTAGCACTCCTGAGGAGCTCAGTGACTCTTCGTCGTCTTCTGTAGAGAGAGCGTCTTTTTCTCCCCAGTTTACTCCTGCTCTTCTTCTTTCTTAGGGGAATATGCCTAGAACATGCTTCGGCTACCAGGAAGTTGATCCTTTCAAGGCACTGGTTTGGATCCATGTCATTTAAGACATCTTCCCAACATGTTTCGTTTAGGACATGGTTTACCTGGTCCCAGTTGATGTTCTTGTTGTTGAAATCGTATTTTGTGAAGACACCTTCACAGGTACATGCATTCTGCTGTTCAGGACCCCTATGCATGTACGTCTGGACTTCGATTAGATTGTGATCGGAGTTAGTTGTTTTTGATATTCTTATGTCTCTCATCAGGTCCTCATTATTTGTGAAGATAAGGTCAAGTGTGTTTTCTAGTCTTGTTGGCTCCACTATCTGCTGGCTTAAGGTGTGTTTTTCGCAGAGACTTAGTAGCTCATGTGTGTGTGACCTTTCATCTGCGCTACCTCCGGGGATTGTTTCAGCTATAACATTATTTGCTACATTCTTCCATTTTGTATGCCTTAGGTTGAAATCACCAATGGTCACTAATTTTCCAAGAGGTCATTGAGACCTTGGACCATCATTTTTTTTAATCACTATGTCACTAGGTCTTGAGGACGTATGATTTTCAGGAACACCAGCTCCATAGAAGCGTTCTCTCAGCGAGGCGAGATAGTCTTGCCAAATTTTCTCCCAATGTTCAATCACCTTATTAAGTTGTTTGAATTTATGGCTGAGTTGCTCAGGTTCGAGGTAAATAGGATCCTCCACGATTTCTTTTTCATTCATGGGAGGAACTGGTTGGAGCCGTCTGCATGGAGTAAATGAGATGGACTTAACACTTCTAAATTATCCAAATCATCGGAAACAAAAGTCAGAGGTCTGCTATTGATTCTATTTTCTACTTCAGTCATGACTGTTCAAAAGTCTTCTAAGTCGATTAGCTGACGATGAAGAATTTGCTTTAAACAACGTTTTATGATGCCTGTTATTCTTGCCATGAAGCCTTAGGAGGAATGTGTCTCCAACGACAACTGTGTTGATTATGCATTTGTTGTACCTCTGGTTGATCAAAAATCTTGCTTATATAAGCACTTCTACTTTGTAAAAACCTCTCATATGCTAACTTTTTCTCTTTTACTACTCTACCTCATTACACCAATCGATCTTCTTCCCTCCCTCATCCACTTTCCTGTAACCACACACTTTTGCTGAACACTCTAACACTGCATTCTTAAATCTACCCCTTACCTCTTCAACCTCATTGCCTCTACACTCACTAGCCCATCTTTCTTTCATATATATATATATATATATATATATATATATATATATATATATATATATATATATATATATATATAATTATATATATATATATATATATATATATATATATATATATAAATAAAGCTATGTATATAATATGTATGCATTATTTATATATAATACTTATGCATTATATATATTATTTTTGTTACTTGAGTATTTCTTTGTCTTGCTAAAGTATTACTAATTAGACAAATTTATGTGACACGCCAAACCAGTGTGGGTTACTTAGCACTTAGGAATCCGTGCGAAGGCTCGGTCCTCCTTCAGGAAGACGCGAGACGCAGCCGAGGCGAACAACGACGAGATTATCAAGATGACCTTGTGCTGTGGTGCACCTCTCTCTCTTCTCTTTCTCTGGCTCTTCCTCATCCTCCTGGGGTGCCCCGGCGGCATCTTGGGGCAAGAGGAGGTGGTGGAGCAAAGAAACACTTCGTCTTCCTACCAGCACCATCATCAAGAAGAACAAGAGGAAGGTAGGTAATGTGTTGAGTGATGGTGTTATTGCTGCTCTCTGGAGAGAAATTTTAATTATAAGAGAAACAGCATTTCTAACAGTAATAACGAGATACAATAATAATGATAAAATATTAAAAACAATATTAATAAAAGAATACCAACTAGAAGAATACCAACTAGAACAAGGACAATAACAGCAACATCTGCTACTACTACTACTAATACTACTATTCTTACCACTAATACCTCTATTACAACAAATATTACTTTTACTACCGTTATTACATTATTAACAATTAGGAAAGCAATAATAATGATAATAACAGTGTGACTTCCAGCAAGACTGGATTTTTTTTACACAGTGTATGAATTCTTGATGGAGAGGTGGTTTTCAAGACATTGCCAAAGCATTTTCTTTCACTGGATGCAACCCACAACAGTCGGCTAACACGCAGGTACCTATCATTACCACTAGGATGGTAGTGGGACAGCCGGGTTGCAAGGTATTTTGCCCATACGGACTGCTCTGGAAATCAATCCCAGGACCTTGCGGTTATAAGTCAAACGCTCTCACCAGTAAGCTGGTGAAGTGAGGTGTATAAGTAAGGAAAGAATGAATCGCCTCTTGTCTCTCCTAAGTTCGTTCCCTTCACTGACACAGCGTAAACATTTGACACTGATTACGTTTCGGTGGAGGTGCTGGCGGGTCCACTGATCACCGCAAAACATCCCTGAGAATTCTTCACAAAGGAAGCTGGTTGTAAACACACATAACAAAAGGAGACGTCATTTTTTTTATTGATTTTGAAGAATTAGACGCATGTTCAACATCTGGTAATCTTTATTATACCATTTCATGTATGTCATTTTTATTACTACGTTTCACCCTCATGGAACTTTATCAAACACTCATGTAGGTAAAAAAATCAAAATTTAAAATATTCTCCTCTGTCTATTTGAACGGTTATTTTTTTTAAACAGACAACACTGGAGAAGGGGTCGTTTTTCTCTTCCAAATGTAGTTAGTGCATCGTCCCTGTATGAGACGTGTGTATTTTTTCGAGCATCCCTATCCTCATGTTATTTACGTATGATCTTTATTCTGTCACTCTATCGTCCATATACGATTGTCCTTGTAGCAACCGTGTATGTTACTGTAGCACCCATGTACATTACTGATCGTCTGCGCATCACCTCGTATCATCCACGTTTAACTGTACTCCTATCATCCTTTCTCCGAGGGCAGAGGAACGAGTTATGGTATGCTACTACGGTTCTTGGGCTGTATACAGACCTGGTGAGGGTAAGTTTGATGTTGAGAACATCGACCCGTACCTCTGCACTCACCTCATCTACGGTTTCGCCGGCCTTCAGGAGTCTACCAACACCATCGTCAGCCTTGACCCCTACAACGACCTCTACGACAACTACGGCAAAGGTAAGAGATCCCTCGAACTGCGTCAGAACGTCGATTCTGGAAGTGATTAAGTCCAATGTGGTCAAAATTACGTCGCTTCTTGTTAGGAAATGTTATTATTTATGTTGAAGAGCTAGATCCATAAGGGTCATACAGGGCCTGGGGAATGAGACGTAAGCAAGTTCAATTCAACGAAGGGAGGATAGTTCCAGTTCTATGGAACAAGAGCCCTTTACTAGCATTGGTAGTCCTTGAAAGGTAATTAGGGATAAGGATTTGTAATTGCCACTCAGAGGAAGTAATTGCTGCTACAACTGACACTAACTAGCTGTGGTGATTCTTACACGACAACTAACGTAAAGAGCGACGACTAACGAAAAGGGCGACAACTAAAGTAAAGGGTAACTACTAACGTAAAAGGGGACAACTAACGTAATGACGGTTCCTACACCAGAGTTGAAATTGTACAACTTAGCATTAAACTATAACATAATTAAATGACATTAAAATTGAAGGTCAGCAACCCGCAAAGTTAATTATGCAGCTGATGGGCATCCTTAACCATCCCGACATTTAAATTAACTAAAAACACATAAAATGCGATAATGTGCAGGCACATCATACAGTAGCAACTACGGTGAATGTCAACATCTGTTTGTGATTTGATAAAACCCATTGTGTGGGCGAAACGTTGCCACTAAAGGATCGCATTATACTGTATTTCTGGTTATTTTTACATCGTGTCGGTATTTTATACCTTTTATATCCAACGTCTTGAATACTCAACGCAGGAATGGTTGAGTGACTACTGGAGTTGATGTCCTTCAAGGGGATGGTGTCTGGATGCTGGTAAGGAGCTCTTGTTACAAGATGCTGGAACTGTCCTACGTTTTTTTGGGATCGATTTCGATTGCCTCCCGTTCCTCCGAAAACATTTCAGACCACTCTTAAACGTCGAGAAATGCAGTGAAAGTTTTTTTTTTTTTGTATGACCCGTACAGGTTCAATGGTTCCCATGAATACAATAATAATTTTTAACGCCTCGGCCGTCTCCCAACGAGATAGATTGACCCAAAGCAGAAAGAAACACTTTCACCATCATTCTTAAAAAATGCATAAATAATATAATAAGCTGACTCCCAATTATGTATGATTTTGATGATGAAACAAGAGTTAAACACCACAACCCAGTTGATCAGGAACCTCTTCCAGAATCAGGTTTTCTCCTGAAAATAGTTACAGCCTATCTGGAAATTCCTTTATATATGTGAAGGGTAAACGTGAAAAAAACTCTCGTATCATTTAGTCACCTAGTCTCTTAATGTACTTACTACACGCTTGATCTTAACTGTGACACTGGCACTATTTACCATGCCTGCTGCTGTGGTAAGGAGTGATCTCAGTGAGCAAATCTTGATCTAGTCCCTCCCGCATCTTATATGTGAAAAATTATATATCTTTCCCGTCTGCGTTCCAGTAAGTACAATATCATTACTTCGCTTCACATTACATGCTAGAGAAGCACGTAAGAGCGTTAAGTTTTTCCTGACGCCTCCCAGCCAACACTGTCTCCCAGCATTATCTTCCCACGTGTGCAAATATCCTCTTCATAAAAAGGAATTACGTCAGTTTATTTCAGCGCAGGTTGGCGAGTCTCCTGTGAGTGTTTCTCATTAATGAGAATTTGCCAGTCTAGCAGTTTATGTTTGTGGTTAATATGTCATGTGGCAAGGCGGTTGGTGGGTACAGTAAGAGAGAGAGAGAGAGAGAGAGAGAGAGAGAGAGAGAGAGAGAGAGAGAGAGAGAGAGAGAGAGAGAGAGAGAGAGAGAGAGAGAAAACTACAACTTCATTCTGTTCACTATTTGTAAATCTCTTAACAATAAAAAGGGTTTCAAATAAGATGATGTAGGTAACAGCTCCTAGCTTATAAATATAGTTTGGAATCTTAAACTTAACCTTGTAAAACCCTATGTAGAGAGAGAGAGAGAGAGAGAGAGAGAGAGATGTCAAATTCTTCTTCAGCACTCGTGTATTTAAATAGTGTGGATAGCGTTTTCTCACAAAAAGATATGCTCACCCTCGTGATTCCTCCTCTGACCTCTAATGGCCTTATTCCAGGAGCTTACTTGCGGTTCACGCGCCTGAAGAAGATTAATCCAGACTTGAAGACTCTGCTAGCTATAGGAGGCTGGAACGAGGGTTCCAGTAAGTACTCTCAGGTACGGTATTTCCACTTAGATTATGGTAAGTTTACAGCTATATCTTTTCATGTGTCATTAAAATTCTCTCGTAACTGTGGATCGTGAAAGTTATGTGTGTAACACTGACAGTGTAAACGCTATCGTCATCTTCTGCTACCATCAGTACTTCAGCCATCAGTATCCTCTGCCATCTTCACCAGCCGTAACTGGCACCACTTGTTGCCATTATTACCATCAACCAGCCAATATCACCACTGTTATCTTTATTACCACTATCAACCAGTACACATCACTATATTCTCCATTATCACCATCAACCACTACACATCGCCATTATAATCTCCATTACCAGCATCAACCACTACACATCGCCATTACAATCTCCATTACCACCAGCTTCTCCTTAACGACCTAGTTTTTAACTACTCCAACTCTGTGTTCCGAGAGTTTCTCGACTTTCGCAATCTGGCCAAAGGAGCCTCATAGCCTTAACACCTCTCGTATTAGCCACATGATGGCGCTTGCTGGTGAATCCTGAAGATTTCCACATTTGTTTGGGCAATATTTCTTATATTTACTGGCAGAAGATTGAAAAGGAGTCGAAAATATGAACATAAGAGAGGAGGAACACTGCAGGAGGCCTACTGACCCATACTTGGTAAGTCCTTGTCAAACCTAAACCCATTATTTGAGCCAGTGTTGTCTAACTGTGCGCATGTACCATTTTATTTCACTGGGTGTATTCCACACTTCCTTCCAAATTTCTTACTCCAGTAAATTATTAAAGATAGCGTGTAGATCAAGGACTTTTTTCTTGTGAAGATTGTAACATAAAGCTCCCCTTCCTTTCCCTAAAAGTGTAAATACATCCATAAGTCATCTCCCACAGATGGTCTCCAGCGAGAGCAGTAGAACCGCCTTCATAACAAGTTGTGTCCAATTCTTGAAGAAATATGGCTTCGACGGGCTAGATGTTGACTGGGAGTACCCTACCCTGAGAGGTGGTCGACCGGAAGACAAGGTAGGTCTTCAGGTGATGCCCGCTCTTGCTGTCGCTTAGTTCTTCGTGGAAAAAAATGCTGTGGGTGCGGCATCAGGGTATGTCTAAGAACATGTGTGGGTGGGATAGCCAATGTTCCAATGGCAGGCCATGGCATCACCATGGATGTATCATCACCTGATAGGTTCTCAGGTGATGATACGGCCATGATAGGCTCTCAGGTGATAATACTGCCATTGTAGGCTCTCAGGTGATGATACGGCCATGATAGGCTCTCAGGTGATGATACAGCCATGATAGATCACTCGTCACAAAGTTATTCCTAAATTCGCCTACTTGTATTTTGCATGTTATGACTATGTAGAGTTGAATGTTAACTCTCAAACTTCTTCTGACTGGCCGTGACCAGCTTCACTTCCATCTATTATTATTATTATTATTATTATTATTATTATTATTATTATTATTATTATTATTATTATTTATTACTATTATTATTATTATATCACTATTATTATTATATCATTATTATTATTATGATGATCATGATGATGGTTGCTATTAATTATACTATTATTATATCATTACATTCATGAATGTGCTAAACCTTTATTGGTTAATCAGTGTCTGTCACTCGCAACTTGAGTTGTGGATCCTGACGCATCTGTATTTAAAGTTGCGCGTTGAGTCTGCCTCCAGTACCTCTTTAGTCAGGTCATTTAATATTCTACCTTTTAAGGCTTAAGAAATTCTTTGAGTCATTTACGACATTAACGTCTATCTGTGTCCCCATTTACCCGTTGCCTGCTTCACGAATATTCTTCCCCTGGCCCTGGCCCTGGCCCTGGCCCTGGCCCTGGCCCTGGCCCTGGCCCTGGCCATGACCCTGGCCCTGCCCACCCTATTAAGTATAAATCATGTTTTTCATGCTGGTATGTAACCTTTTATGTTGATATAAAACTTTTATCTTAAAGGTTAACTTCGTTCATCTCTTGGACGAGATGAGGTCAGAGTTCACCAAACATGACCTCATGCTGACGTCAGCAGTGTCAGCAGGCAAAGTCACCATCGACGCTGCCTACGATATAACTGCCCTGGCCAGGTCTGGTAGAATTAAAAAAAAAGTTACATGTATATACATATATCAATGGAGTGATCGGGATTTGAACTCAAGGTCTGAGATCACTACAAAGGATTATAAGATATTCTCAAAACAAAACCTAGCTGAGTGATGATGGCAGCTAACACTCATTTTCTGCCCACCAGGAATTTAGACCTGGTTCACCTGATGGCGTATGATCTACACGGGTCGTGGGAGCAGTATGCTCATCACCACTCTCCACTGTATGCCCATCCCCTTGACAAAGGAGCCAATTCCCTTTTGAATGTGGTGAGATGACCTTGTTGTCCTGTTGTGTATATATCCATGCAGTACATGCCTCTGTATCTCATTATTTCTCATCATTAATGTCACTTATCTTACCAAAGAAAAAGTCAACTACATTAATCTCTCATCATTATGTATTATACATTTCTGTGGAAAACAGGACTTGAGTATATAATAGTATTATGAATTGACGTCACTATACTAGATTTTTTTATTATCATTGTATGTATATTAATCAGCTTCTCGTTTAAATTATCATTCAGTACAAGCTCAGACTCAAATATGCATATATAATATTGTCTCTACGTCCACAGCAGGACTCGAACCTGCAAACGCTGTAGCAGAGTCCACAGTACTTTACCACAGAGCCAGACCCTAGACGGGGTCTCTGATACAGAGTTTGCAGGTTCGAGTCCTGTTGTAGACGTAGAAACAATGTGAATAATTTCGCCTGTTTGCGAACTGTTAAGCATATATAACATGTCAACCTCTGGTGTTAGGACTGGGCAGTGAGATACTGGATGAAGCTGGGACTTCCTGCCCACAAGCTGGTGCTGGGGATGGGTTTATATGGACGATGCTTCACGCTGGCCAGTGCCCAAGAACATGATGTTTACTCCCCAGCACCACAACCAGGGCTACCGGGACCTTACACACGGGAACCGGGAGTACTTGGGTATAATGAGGTAAGTTTTTTTAAGATGCAGGGCTACGGGTGTAAGTGTACTTACTTGTAATTGCAGCAGTCGAGTCTCAGTTCCTGGTCTCTCCCCATCTTCTCCTGACTGTCTTCTCCTTTACCTTGGTATATAGTTAGTGATACAGATTTAGTTGTATCACTTTATTTAGTGATACAGATTTAGCTGTATCATTTTATTGTGGCAACGTTTCGCTACAAGAACACTACAAAAAACTGCAAAAACACTACAAAAATGTTGCATACAACACTACAAAAACAATGCAAAACACTGCTAACGCAACTGCGAAAACACTACAAAAATGTTATAAGAACTGTACAAAAGCACTGAAAATGGACACATGTGCATCTAATGCGACATTTTATCGTGGCAACGTTTCGCTCATGAAGACCGAAACACTGACACAATAAAATTTCGCAATACTTACACATGTGTTCTTTTACCTAACACACAGTAATTTGCTTTCCTCATTAAGAGATCAGAAAAAGGTAGTGCCTGACCAACTTCCTCTGAGACAGCAATCTCTTTGTCTTTGACTTTTTATATTTCTAATTCCTTGGAGAATATCTCCTTAAATCTTTTATTCAGGTCGTCGCAGGCTTTCTGATCATATCTTGTGAGCTCTCCTCCTTTCTTCAGTCTTACCACTTTCTTCGACTTCCTTTTGTTGAGATTGTATAGAAGATTCTGTTCGAATTTGGCTTTCGAAGCTACAAATTTTCATTATTTTTTTCTTGTTCTGCCTTTCTTCTTAACCTTAGCATTTATGTTCATATTTCTGTTTAATATTTGACTAAATGGTTTAGAAAACTGACAAGATGATAAATGAGACACTTGTGCAATATTAGTTATCTTTATTTTGAATAAAGATAACCAAAATGTTACACAAGTATTATACTTTATTTCAATATTTTTCTATGTTCTTTTACTTTTAAAAGTTGGCTCTCTGCATCTCTGGGAGAACCATCAACTCTTCCTGTTCCAGCCATTGCTTCCACTTCTGGGAATGGATTTCTCTTCCTCCTGCTGGCACTTTTCAGCTAAATATTCAATCATCTCAGCTGTGGTCTTTCCTTTCAGTTCCCTTTTCCAGTGGACTGCATTCAGAAATTCTCTCATACTAGAGTAGTTTCCTCTTCTGAAGTCTGTTTTTTTCCACCATCCGTCCCCTGGTATGTTTCTTTTCGTGTTTATTTCCACAAAGTATTCGAAACTCAGTACTGTGTGTGTGTGGGGGGGGGGTATTCACCTATTTGTACTTACCTATATGTGGTTGCAGGGGTCGAATCATAGTTCCTGGCCCCGCCTCTTCGCTAGTTGCTACTAGGTCACTCTCTCCCCTCTCGCGATTGTTCCATATCCTGACAATTCTAAGGCTAAAGAAGTATTTCCTAACATCCATAGCATTCGTCTGAGTTTTCATCGTCCAGTTGTGTCACCTTGTTCCTGTGTCCCAACTCTGAAACATTCTAGCTCTGTCCACTATGTCAGTTTCTCTCAGTATTTTATACGTCGTTATCATGTTCCCTCTTTATCTCCTATCCTCCAGTGTCATTAGTTTTTTAACCTCACAAGACATACCCCTTAACTCTGGGACTACTGCAAACTTTTGCACTTTCTCCAGTTTCTTGACGTGTTTGACCAGTTGTGGGTTCCATACTGGTGCTGCATACTCCAATATGGGCCTGACATACACAGTGCTCATATGTGTGTGTGTGTGTGTGTGTGTGTGTGTGTGTGTGTGTGTGTGTGTGTGTGCGTGTGTAAAGTGCTCAGACCTAAAATTAACTTCCCTATAACAAGAACTCTCTGGGTCTCAAAACTTGTCAAACTTGGAAGAAAATTTTTCTTCGTAGGAACAACAGCGAGATACGGTATAATGAAGGTTCATTCTCCCTCTTCCCCCTCACCATCCTCACTCTCACCCTCTCTTTATTTCCCCTTTCCTCTCACCCCCATATCCTCGATGCCCTACTGAAGCCTTCCAGCTCAAACTGACAGCTTAAACACCTTAAATTAACCCCATCCTGCGAGATGGAATATAGCAGGGATAAGTAGCTTTCACCCCCACTGTGTAACTATTATGTAGAATAGGATAGCAACACACACACACTGCTGATGCATCCAGTTTTATTCAATAAAAAATAAAGCTACCACTTACCCCTCTCTCCACACTCTTCACCTCTCACATCCCTCTGATTCTCATCATACACACACACGCCTCACTCTTCTCCAATCTCTCCAGATCTGTGAAGGAGAGGGGAGCGCACCATGGAACATAGTGCGAGAGAAGCATATGGTGTCTCCCTACGCCTACCATGATCGTCAGTGGTGTGGCTACGATGATGTCAAGTCAGTCACTGTCAAAGTAAGTACTTAGGGTAATTATTATTTCAGTAGCTAGGCTTCAAGTATCTTTAATGGAAGTACCATGATTATGATTATTATTATTATTATTATTATTATTATTATTATTATTATTATTATTAGTAGTAGTAGTAGTAGTAGTAGTAGTAGTATTACTACACTACTGCTTTTATTATTATTATTATTATTATTATTATTATTATTATTATCTGCATCACTAATAGTAACAGTAGTAACAGAAGTAGTAACAATAATAATAATGCTGTTCTTAAACCTGTGTTGATCATTCGGCACAAGGAGTGATGGAGGCTCGATGCACCGTCTACAGCTGTCGAGGAACACACACACATGCACACACACAAACACACACACACACACACACACACACACACACACACACACACACACACACACACACACACACACACACACACACACACACACACACTGCCTAAATCACCCGACTTGTGTTTTTCCAGACCCTGTACGTCAACACCCTGGGACTGGCTGGAGTCATGGTCTGGTCCATAGAAACTGATGATTTCCACGGCTCGTGTCACCAGCAACCATTTCCGCTCATCACTACCATCAGGACTATCCTTAGGAATGGCGAGCCTATCCCCACGCCCACGCCCACGCCCACGCCCACGCCCACCACGGTGAGGATAGATTGAAACGATTTCTTAAAAATGGCGTTTGTGTGTACTCCCTATTTGTACTCACCTATATGTACCAATTTGTATCCACCTATTTGTACTCATCTATTTGTGATTTCAGGGGTCGATTCATAGCTCCTGGCAACATATTCATCAATATTCGTATTCACCATCATTCATATTCACCATCATTCATATTCACCATCATTCATCATCCTCTTCAGGTTGACGATATATTTTCGATTTTTCAGGACACGACACTCACCCCGACACCTACACCTCCTCCAACGCCCACGCCCACGCCCACGCCCACGCCCACTCCTCCCCCCAGTACCATTTGTCACAGAGATGGATTGAACGCTGACCCTGCTGGTGACTGTACCGTTTTTTATGAGTGTCAACAGGTGTGTTGTACTGTTTGATAAGCTGTACCATTATCTGTTGCATTGTCCAGTTATTTGTTGTAGTGTACCGTTAACTGTTGTAGTGTGCCGTTAAGTGTTGTAATGTGCCGTTAACTGTTGTATTGTACCGTTAACTGTTGTAGTGTGCCGTTAACTGTTGTAGTGTGCCGTTAAGTGTTGTAATGTGCCGTTAACTGTTGTATTGTACCGTTAACTGTTGTAGTGTACCGTTAACTGTTGTAGTGTGCCGTTAAGTGTTGTAATGTGCCGTTAACTGTTGTATTGTACCGTTAACTGTTGTAGTGTACCGTTAACTGTTGTAGTGTGCCGTTAACTGTTGTAGTGTGCCGTTAACTGTTGTAATGTGCCGTTAACTGTTGTAGTGTACCGTTAACTGTTGTAGTGTGCCGTTAACTGTTGTATGTGCCGTAACGGTTGTAATGTGCCGTTAACTGTTGTATTGTACCGTTAACTGTTGTATTGTACCGTTAACTGTTGTAGTGTGCTGTCAACCGGTAAGAGTATCTGTTGTAGTGTGTTATTATGTATTGCGATAAGCCTTTATATGTTGGGGTATGCTGTTATCTGTTATTGTGTACTGTTGTATACACAAATAACCCGCACATAGAAGAGAGGAGTTTACGACGACTTGGACCATTTACAAAGTCACACTAACAGAAGGAGAGGAGGGAGTTTATATAGGCCAGTCGAAGACTGACTCCACTACTACTACTACTACTACTACTGCTGCTACTAGTACTACTACTATTATCTACTACTAACTACTACTACTATACTATTACTTACTGCGTGCTGTACTACTACTAAACTACTCTACTGCTGCTGCTCTACTACTACTACTACTATACTACTACTACTATCTGCTGCAGCTGCTGCTGCTACTACTACTACTACTACTACTACTACTACTACTACTACTACTACTGCTGCTGCTGCTGCTGCTGCTGCTGCTACTACTACTACTACTACTTCTACTGCCTATACCACTACCTCTCTTCCTTTCCTATTACCTCTCTTGTCCCGGCCCTGTCTGCTGGTCTGTATATACTCTCACCTTCTCGGACTGAAATGTCGTCGTAAACTCCCCTCTCTTATGTGCGAGTTATTTGTGTGTTGTTCCAGTGACGGTATTGTGCCTTTTTGTTTTTTATGCACTGTTGTATGTTGTGCAACTCCTGTTGGGTTTAGCGTTTCACCCTCACGCCACTAGGCCTCGTGCTGCCGTATGGTGGGTCGAGTTCAAACCTAAAGTTGGCTGGGCGAAGTGCTGTATCCCTCTCCTCGCCAGACACCTCTACCAGCAATATGTTTTGCCCAGATCCTGTCGCCTAGGCCTTAGGCTGTGACTGGGACCACCAAACACACACACACCACTGCTATATTATTATTATTATTATTATTATTATTATTATTATTATTATTATTATTATTACCCCACCGGATATTCAAGTTTGCTTATATATCTGGTGACAGCAGTGGGATGTCCTGGCGGTGCTGGTATATTTTTATTGATATAGTTGTTGTATACTATTGTTTGTTGTAGTATGCTGTTGTATGTCGGGGTACAGTGTTATCTGTTATGATATACTGTTGTATGTTGTGGTATACTGTTGTATGTTGTGGTATACTGTTGTATGTTGGAGTATACTGCCATCTGTTAGTTTTTACCAGTAATAAGCATCTTGTAAAATTTCTTGACAGTTAATCCAGTAACGTGAAAGACTGGTTCACTGATAGAGGATTTCTGAGTGCTTGGTCAATGAAGTGTGTGTGTGTGTGTGTGTGTGTTTGTGTATGTGTGTTGTGTGTGTGTGTGTGTGTGTGTGTGTGGTGTGTGTGTGTGTGTGTGTGTGTTGTGGTGTGTGTGTGTGTGTTTTCGATTTACTTACTCTCTAGCTCTTCCCTTGTTTTAAGAAATCCTACTCTCAGTTTCAACAAATCCTACTTTTCCTGGGGAAATCCTATTCCCGCCCCCCTCCTTCTTTCAGAAAATCCAAAACCCCTTAGCAGATCCTACTTGATTCAACAAAACCATTTAGCTGAAGCCTCTCAGTAGACACTGGAGCTTTGCGTCAGAGTAAGCACCTCGAGCGCGTCTGCCAGCCGAGTAAACAATGGTCGGACACTTGGGTTCAGTTTTTCGTGTCGTGTCTCTATTCTGGAAAATAAGTCACAAGTGAGCTTCAGTTTTCCCACTGTGGATTTCGAGTTGTTTTTCTCTCAGTAATAACTGTGACACCATTACGCAGCGTAGTTTTATTTAGAATTGGATGGAATATCCGCGGTAATTTATTATATTCGCTTGGCTGGGATGACAGGTAAGATATCTGGAGGTCTCGATCAAATGACCAAAAGTCCATCCGAGCACAGAGGTCTTTGTCTCCTCCCCCCCTACCCCTCTCTCTAAGTGAGTTTTTATTCAACTAAAAAATCTCAAACTTAGTGGGGAATCGACTGTCTATCTGCATATTCCTAACCAGGCGCGTCGGGCTCTCAGCAGACCAATACAAAACATCCCAACTGGAATAATATTTAAACCAGAACATAAAAAACTCGCCTTTGTAAGTTCTGCCTTTTATATTTTTATTTTAATGCAGAATTAAATTAGCTGCCTCAGGGCATAAAAAATAGAAATTATTTCAACAATTTAGATTTACATTCCAACTGCACTTATTTGCTAGTTGGAAAACAAGGTCCTTCTAGGTACTTCCGGGTACTTCCAGGTACTTTCGGGTACTTCCAAGTATTTCTGGGTACTTCCGGGTACTTCCAGGTACTTCCAGGTACTTCCAGGTACTTCTGGGGGCTTCCGGGTACTGCCAGGTACTTCGGGTACTTCCGGGTACTTCCGGGTACTTCCAGGTACTTCCGGGTACTTCCAGGTACTTCTGGGCACTTCTGGGTACTTCTGGGTACTTCCAGGTACTTCCAGGTACTTCCGGGTACTTCCGGGTACTTCCAGGTACTTCCAGATACTTCCAGGTACTTCCGGGTACTTCCAGGTACTTCTGCTACACAACCTACACTATTTTTTCCACTACTGTCTCTACTTCTTGTATTTTTCTACTTCCTCTCTTTGTCCCATCCCTGCCCCTGTTCTCGGATATATATTGGCTCCCTTACCTTCATGTGTTAGTGTGACTAGCTAATGTTGCAAGTCAAACCGAAACGTCGTTATAAGTTTCTTTCTCCTATGTGCGGGTTATTTGTGCAGCGAATGCTTTTTCTCATCGGTTTCAAACCCAAAATACTGATGTATCTTAATAACAAGTGTTTTTGACACTAATTTGGGGCTGTGCAGTACTAATTTGTTATTTTTTACCACTTTCTCTCTCCCTCTCTCTCTCCCTCTCTCTCTCTCTCTCTCTCTCTCTCTCTCTCTCTCTCTCTCTCTCTCTCTCTCTCTCTCTCTCTCTCTCTCTCTCTCTCTCTCTCTCTCTCAACATCCTGGTTTTCCTCGCCCATTACGTATTCCTAAAATTGTAGCTATGTGGACTCTTAGTTCGTTTTTATGTAGCTATGTGGACTCTTAGTTCGTTTTTATGTAGGTATGTGGACTCTTAGTTCATTTTTATGTAGCTATGTGGACTCTTAGTTCGTTTTTATGTAGCTATGTGGACTCTTAGTTCGTTTTTATGTAGGTATGTGGACTCTTAGTTCATTTTTATGTAGCTATGTGGACTCTTAGTTCGTTTTTATGCAGGTACGTGGACTCTTAGTTCATTTTTATGCAGCTATGTGGACTCTTAGTTCGTTTTTATGTAGGTATGTGGACTCTTAGTTCATTTTTATGCAGCTATGTGGACTCTTAGTTCGTTTTTATGTAGCTATGTGGACTCTTAGTTCGTTTTTATGTAGGTATGTGGACTCTTAGTTCATTTTTATGCAGCTATGTGGACTCTTAGTTCGTTTTTATGTAGCTATGTGGACTCTTAGTTTGTTTTATGTAGGTATGTGGACTCTTAGTTCATTTTTATGTAGCTATGTGGACTCTTAGTTCGTTTTTATGTAGCTATGTGGACTCTTAGTTCATTTTTATGTAGCTATGTGGACTCTCAGTTCGTTTTTATGTAGCTATGTGGACTCTTAGTTCGTTTTTATGTAGCTATGTGGACTCTTAGTTCATTATTATGTAGCTATGTGGACTCTTAGTTCATTTTTATGTAGCTATGTGAACTCTTAGTTCGTTTTTATGTAGCTATGTGGACTCTTAGTTCGTTTTTATGTAGCTATGTGGACTCTTAGTTCGTTTTTATGTAGCTATGTGGACTCTTAGTACATTTTTATGTAGCTATGTGGACTCTCAGTTCGTTTTTATGTAGCTATGTGGACTCTTAGTTCGTTTTTATGTAGCTATGTGGACTCTTAGTTCATTATTATGTAGCTATGTGGACTCTTAGTTCATTTTTATGTAGCTATGTGAACTCTTAGTTCGTTTTTATGTAGCTATGTGGACTCTTAGTTCGTTTTTATGTAGCTATGTGGACTCTTAGTTCATTTTTATGTAGCTATGAGGACTCTTAGTTCGTTTCTATGTAGCTATGTGGACTCTTAGTTCGTTTTTATGTAGGTATGTGGACTCTCAGTTAATTTTTATGTAGCTATGTGGACTCTTAGTTCGTTTTTATGTAGCTATGTAGATTCTTAGTTCGTTTTTATGTAGCTATGTGGACTCTTAGTTCATTTTTATGTAGCTATGTGGACTCTTAGTTCGTTTTTATGTAGCTATGTGGACTCTTAGTTCATTTTATGTAGCTATGTGGACTCTTAGCTCGTTTTTATGTAGTTATGTGGACTCTTAGTTCGTTTTTATGTAGCTATGTGGACTCTTAGTTCATTTTTATGTAGCTATGTGGACTCTTAGATCATTTTTTTGTAGCTATGTGGACTCTTAGTTAATTTTTATGTAGCTATGTGGACTCTTAGTTCACTTTTATGTAGCTATGTGAACTCTTAGTTCGTTTTTATGTAGCTATGTGGACTCTTAGTTCATTTTTATGTAGCTATGTGGACTCTTAGTTCACTTTTATGTAGCAATGTGGACTCTTAGTTCACTTTTATGTAGCTATGTGTACTCTTAGTTCATTTTTATGTAGCTATGTGGACTCTTAGTTCACTTTCATGTAGCTATGTGGACTCTTAGTTCGGTTTTATGTAGCTATGTGGACTCTTAGTTCATTTTTATGTAGCTATGTGGACTCTTAGTTCACTTTTATGTAGCTATGTGGACTCTTAGTTCGTTTTTATGTAGCTATGTGGACTCTTAGTTCATTTTTATGTAGCTATGTGGACTCTTAGTTCGTTTTTATGTAGCTATGTGGACTCTTAGTTCATTTTATGTAGCTATGTGGACTCTTAGTTCGTTTTTATGTAGCTATGTGGACTCTTGGTTCGTTATGTATCTATGTGGACTCTTAGTTCATTTTTATGTAGCTATATGGACTCTTAGTTCATTTTTATGTAGCTGTGTGGACTCTTAGTTAATTTTTATGCAGCTATGTGGACTCTTAGTTCACTTTTATGTAGCTATGTGGACTCTTAGTTCGTTTTTATGTAGCTATGTGGACTCTTAGTTCATTTTTATGTAGCTATGTGGGCTCTTAGTTCACTTTTATATAGCTATGTGGACTCTTAATTCACTTTTATGTAACTATGTGTACTCTTAGTTCATTTTTATGTAGCTATGTGGACTCTTAGTTCACTTCTATGTAGCTATGTAGACTCTTAGTTCGGTTTTATGTAGCTAGGTGGACTCTTAGTTCATTTTTATGTAGCTATGTGGACTCTTAGTTCACTTTTATGTACCTATGTGGACTCTTAGTTCGTTTTTATGTAGCTATGTGGACTCTTAGTTCGTTTTTATGTAGCTATGCGGACTCTTAGTTCATTTTTATGTAGCTATGTGGACTCTTAGTTCATTTTTATGTAGCTATGTGGACTCTCAGTTCGTTTTTATGTCGCTATGTGGACTCTTAGTTCGTTTTATGTAGCTATGTGGACTCTTAGTTCGTTTTTATGTAGCTATGTGGACTCTTAGTTCGTTATGTAGCTATGTGGACTCTTAGTTCGTTTTTATGTAGCTATGTGGACTCTTATGTCATTTTTATGTAGCTATGTGGACTCTTAGTTCGTTTTTATGTAGCTATGTGGACTCTTAGTTCGTTTTTATATAGGTATGTGGACTCTTAGTTCGTTTTTATGTAGCTACGTGGACTCTTAGTTCATTTTTATGTAGCTATGTAGACTTTTAGTTCGTTTTTATGTAGCTATGTGGACTCTTAGTTCATTTTTATGTAGCTATGTGGACTCTTAGTTCACTTCTATGTAGCTATGTAGACTCTTAGTTCGTTTTTATGTAGCTATGTGGACTCTTAGTTCGTTTTTATATAGGTATGTGGACTCTTAGTTCGTTTTTATGTAGCTACGTGGACTCTTAGTTCATTTTTATGTAGCTATGTAGACTTTTAGTTCGTTTTTATGTAGCTATGTGGACTCTTAGTTCATTTTATGTAGCTATGTGGACTCTTAGTTCGTTTTTGTGTAGCTATGTGGACTCTTAGTTCGTTTTTATGTAGCTATGTGGACTCTTAGTTCATTTTTATGTAGCTATGTAGACTCTTAGTTCGTTTTTATGTAACTATGTGGACTCTTAGTTAATTTTTATGTAGCTATGTGGACTCTTAGTTCGTTTTTATGTAGCTATGTGGACTCTAGTTCATTTTATGTAGCTATGTGGACTCTTAGTTCGTTTTTATGTAGCTATGTGGACTCTTAGTTCGTTTTTATGTAGCTATGTGGACTCTTAGTTCATTTTTATGTAGCTATGTGGACTCTTAGTTCGTTTTTATGTAGCTATGTGGACTCTTAGTTCACTTTTATGTAGCTATGTGGACTCTTAGTTCGGTTTTATGTAGCTATATGGAATCTTAGTTCATTTTTATGTAGCTATGTGGACTCTTAGTTCACTTTTATGTAGCTATGTGGACTCTTAGTTCACTTTTATGTAGCTATGTGGACCCTTAGTTCACTTTTATGTAGCTATGTGGACTCTTAGTTCGGTTTTATGTAGCTATGTGGACTCTTAGTTCTTTTTTATGTAGCTATGTGGACTCTTAGTTCACTTTTATGTAGCTATGTGGACTCTTAGTTCGTTTTTATGTAGCTATGTGGATTCTTAGTTCATTTTTGTGTAGCTATGTGGACTCTTAGTTCATTTTTATGTAGCTATGTGGACTCTTAGTTCACTTTTATGTAGCTATGTGGACTCTTAGTTCGTTTTTATGTAGCTATGTGGACTCTTAGTTCATTTTTATGTAGCTATGTGGACTCTTAGTTCACTTTTATGTAGCTATGTGGACTCTTAGTTCATTTTTATGTAGCTATGTGGACTCTTAGTTCATTTTTATGTAGCTATGTGGACTCTTTGTTTTTAATTTGCTATGTGGACTCTTAGTTCACTTTTATGTAGCTATGTGGACTCTTAGTTCGTTTTTATGTAGCTATGTGGACTCTTCATTTTTAAGGAGATCTGCGGGTGAATGAGACACAGGTAAGTAAGTAAGTAAGTAAGTAAGTAAGTTTATTCAGGTATACACAAATACAGTTACATAGAATTATCATACATAGTAGCATATGTGTAGAGAACCTAGGATAACCCAAAAAAGTCAGACAGGTGTTACACCTGTGTCTCATTTATCAGGATACGTGATACCAGTCATGATGTATGTGTTTCCATCTCGCTAGATGGGCGGAGTGTGGCAGATGTGGCGCTTCCGGTGTGCCCTGGGCACTGTCTTCGTCGAGCAGATGCAAGCCTGTGACTTCCCTGACCATCACCCTGCTTGTCCCCTGCTTCCTGCCGCTACCACCACCACCACGACAACAACAATCCTGTCGTCCGCCGCCGTCACCATAACCCCGCCGCCCAGCGTCACTACCCCGCCGCCCAGCGCCACTACCCCGCAGCCCAGCTCCTCTCTTCCCTACACCACAATGCCATCGGACGCAGCTGTGGTCGAAGTGGCGTCCCTGGCTCTCCCAGAAACACAGAACAAAAGCAGTCTCTCTCCCGGTAGAGGCGGTCCCAAGACCCAGAGGATGAAACAAAAGTGGAGGAAAGCGCAAGTGTTCTTCAAAAAGCTTAAGATATATTTGTAAAACAAAAGCTGAGAAAAATGTTTAAAGATTTTGAGTTGGCAGCATTTTTGGCGCTAACACACGAACACACACACACACACATACACACACATAAACACACATACACACACATACACACACACACACACACACACACACACACACACACACACACACACACACACACACACACACACACACACACACACACGAGCTGAGTCTTGACCCCTGCAACCACAATTAGGCGAGTACACACACACACACACTGTGTACGTGAGGCCCATATTGAAGTATGCGGCACCAGTTTGGAACCCACACCTAGCCAAGCACGTAAAGAAACTAGAGAAAATACAAAGGTTCGCAACAAGACTAGTCCCAGAGCTAAGGGGTATGTCCTACGAGGAGAGGTTAAGGGAAATCGATCTGACAACAATGGAGGACAGGAGGGATACTGGGACACATGATAACGACATATAAAATACTGAGAGGAATTGACAAGGTGGACAGAGACAGAATGTTCCAGAAATGGGACACAGTAACAAGGGGACACAGTTGGAAATTGAAGACTCAGATGAATCACAGGGATGTTAGGAAGTATTTCTTCAGTCACGGAGTAGTCAGGAAGTGGAATAGTTTGGGAATCGATGTAGTGGAGGCAGGATCCATACATAGCTTTAAGCAGAGGTATGATAAAGCTTATGGCTGGGAGAGTAACCCAGTAGCGGCCATTGAAGAGGAGGGGCCAGGAGCTATGACTCGATCCCTGCAATCACAACTAGATGAGTACAACTAGGTGAGTACACACACAAACACACACACACACACACACACACACACACACACACACACACACACACACACACACACACACACAGGAGGAGAATTAAATCTGATGAGGACCAGGCAGGACTTCAAAGAGACCTGGACAGACTGGACACCTGGTCCAGCAAATGGCTTCTCGAATTTAATCCTGCCAAATGCAAAGTCATGAAGATAGGGGAAGGCACAGAAGACCACAGACAGAGTATAGGCTAGGTGGCCAAAGACTGCAAACCTCACTCAAGGAGAAAGATCTTGGGGTGAGTATAACACCGAGCATGTCTCCGGAAGCACACATCAATCAGATAACTGCTGCAGCACATGGGCGCCTGGCAAACCTGAGAACAGCATTCCGATACCTTAGTAAGGAATCATTCAAGACACTGTACACCGTGTATGTCAGGCCCATACTGGAGTATGCAGCACCTGTTTGGAACCCGCACTTGATAAAGCACGTCAAGAAACTAGAGAAAGTACAAAGGTTTGCAACAAGGTTAGTTCCAGAGCTAAGGGGAATGTCCTATGAAGAAAGATTAAGGGAAATCGGCCTGACGACACTGGAGGACAGGAGGGTCAGGGGAGACATGATAACGACATATAAAATACTGCGTGGAATAGACAAGGTGGACAAGGACAGGATGTTCCAGGGAGGGGACACAGAAACAAGAGGCCACAATTGGAAGTTGAAGACACAAATGAGTCAGAGAGATAGTAGGAAGTATTTCTTCAGTCATAGAGTTGTAAGGCAGTGGAATAGCCTAGAAAATGACGTACTGGAGGAAGGAACCATACACAGTTTTAAGACGAGGTTTGATAAAGCTCATGGAGCGGGGAGAGAGAGGGCCTAGTAGCAACCGGTGAAGAGGCGGGGCCAGGAGCTAGGACTCGACCCCTGCAACCACAAATAGGTGAGTACAAATAGGTGAGTACACACACACACACACACACACACCACGCACACACACACACACACACACACACTATAGTGTTAAATTTCCTCGAGTTGTCTTCAAGATATATATATATGAATTTCGTTGGAGAAGATTTATTGTTATTCTCAACGACTTCAGCAGCTTCACACAGACGGATGATCGAGCCTTCACTTCTTACGCTAACTGACCCGCATTTCACACAAATACACTGCAGATGTACGTTATTCACTGCATTCACCTGACTACCAAACAAACCAGGATCTTCCACGTACGTACAATAATTACAATGATCATAATCATATACATCTCTAAACCCACATGGGCCCCGAGACGTTTTGAAGGCTCGAACCTCCGTCAGCTAATTGCTCAAAGACAAGCTTTGTACTTGTACACGCTGGTGTGGTTAACAAGCCAGGATGTGAGTACAGACTTTAACAAGCCAGGATGTGAGTACAGACTTTAACAAGCCAGGATGTGAGTACAGACTTTAACAAGCCAGGATGTGAGTACAGACTTTAACAAGCCAGGATGTGAGTACAGACTTTAACAAGCCAGGATGTGAGTACAGACTTTAACAAGCCAGGATGTGAGTGCAGACTTTAACAAGCCAGGATGTGAGTGCAGACTTTAACAAGCCAGGATGTGAGTACAGACTTTAACAAGCCGATGTGATACAGACTTACAAGCCAGGATGTGAGTACAGACTTTAACAAGCCAGGATGTGAGTGCAGACTTTAACAAGCCAGGATTTTGAGTACAGACTTTAACAAGCCAGGATGTGAGTGCAGCTTAACAAGCCAGGAGTGAGTGCAGACTTTAACAAGCCAGGATGTGAGTACAGACTTTAAGAAGCCAGGATGTGAGTACAGACTTTAACAAGCCAGGATGTGAGTACAGACTTTAACAAGCCAGGATGTGAGTGCAGACTTTAACAAGCCAGGATGTGAGTACAGACTTTAACAAGCCAGGATGTGAGTGCAGACTTTAACAAGCCAGGATGTGAGTACAGACTTTAACAAGCCAGGATGTGAGTACAGACTTTAACAAGCCAGGATGTGGGGTGCAGACTTTAACAAGCCAGGATGTGTGTACAGACTTTAACAAGCCAGGATGTGAGTGCAGACTTTAACAAGCCAGGATGTGAGTGCAGACTTTAACAAGCCAGGATGTGAGTACAGACTTTAACAAGCCAGGATGTGAGTACAGACTTTAACAAGCCAGGATGTGAGTGCAGACTTTAACAAGCCAGGATGTGAGTACAGACTTTAACAAGCCAGGATGTGAGTGCAGACTTTAACAAGCCAGGATGTGAGTGCAGACTTTAACAAGCCAGATGTGATGAGACTTTAACAAGCAGAGTGAGTACAGACTTTAACAAGCCAGGATGTGAGTAAGACTTTAACAACCAGGATGTGAGTGCAGACTTAACAACCAGGATGTGAGACAGACTTAACAACCAGGATGTGATACAGATTAACAAGCCAGGATGTGAGTGAGACTTTAACAAGCCAGGATGATGTCATACTTAACAAGCCAGGAAAGTGAGTACAGACTTAACAAGCAGGATGTGAGTACAGACTTTAACAAGCCAGGATGTGAGTACAGACTTTAACAAGCCATGACTTGAGTGCAGACTTTAACAAGCCAGATGTGAGTTATGACTTTAACAAGCAGGATGTGAGTGCAGACTTTAACAAGCCAGGATGTGAGTGCAGACTTTAACAAGCCAGGATGTGAGTGCAGACTTTAACAAGCCAGGATGTGAGTACAGACTTTAACAAGCCAGGATGTGAGTACAGACTTTAACAAGCCAGGATGTGAGTGCAGACTTTAACAAGCCAGGATGTGAGTACAGACTTTAACAAGCCAGGATGTGAGTACAGTCTTCAACAAGCCAGGATGTGAGTGCAGACTTTAACAAGCCAGGATGTGAGTGCAGACTTTAACAAGCCAGGATGTGAGTACAGACTTTAACAAGCCAGGATGTGAGTACAGACTTTAACAAGCCAGGATGTGAGTACAGACTTTAACAAGCCAGGATGTGAGTACAGACTTTAACAAGCCAGGATGTGAGTACAGACTTTAACAAGCCAGGATGTGAGTGCAGACTTTAACAAGCCAGGATGTGAGTGCAGACTTTAACAAGCCAGGATGTGAGTACAGACTTTAACAAGCCAGGATGTGAGTACAGACTTTAACAAGCCAGGATGGAGTACAGACTTTAACAAGCCAGGATGTGAGTGCAGACTTTAACAAGCCAGGATGTGAGTACAGAATTTAACAAGCCAGGATGTGAGTGCAGACTTTAACAAGCCAGGATGTGAGTACTGACTTTAAGAAGCCAGGATGTGAGTACAGACTTTAACAAGCCAGGATGTGAGTGCAGACTTTAACAAGCCAGGATGTGAGTGCAGACTTTAACAAGCCAGGATGTGATACAGACTTTAACAGCGGATGTGAGTACAGACTTTACAAGCAGGATGTGAGGCAGACTTTAACAAGCCAGATTGAGTACAGACTTAAAAAAGCCAGGATGTGTAGTGCAGACTTTACAAGCCCAGATGTGAGTACAGACTTTAACAAAACCCGGATGTGAGTGAGAAATTTAACAAGCCAGGATGTATGCAGACTTTAACAACCAGTATGTGTAGTACAGACTTTAACAAGCCAGGATTGAGTACACTTTAACAAGCCAGGATGTAGTACAGACTTAACAAGCCAGGATGTGAGTACAGGGCTTTAACAAGCCAGGATTGAGTGCAGACTTTAACAAGCCAGATGTGAGTACAACTTTAAAGCCGGATGTGAGTAAGACTTTAACAAGCCAGGATGTGAGTACAGGCTTTAACAAGCCGGATGTAGTGCAGACTTTAACAAGCCAGGATGTGAGTACAGACTTTAACAAGCCAGGAGTGAGTACAGACTTTAACAACCAGGATGTGGTACAGACTTTACCCAGGATGTGATACAGCTTTAACAAGCCAGGATGTGAGTGCAGACTTTAACAAGCCAGGATGTGAGTACAGACTTTAACAGCAGATGTGATACAGACTTTAACAAGCAGGAGTGAGTACAGACTTTAACAAACCAGGCTGTGAGTACAGACTTAACAAGCCAGGATGTGAGTGCAGACTTAAAAGCCAGATGTGAGACAGACTTTAACAAGCCGGATGTGAGTACACTTTAACAAGCCAGGATTGAGACAGACTTTAACAAGCCAGGATTGAGTTTCAGATCTTAACAAGCCAGGAGTGAGTACAGACTTTAACAAGCCAGATGTGAGACAGACTTAACAAGCCGGGATGTGAGTACAGACTTTAACAAGCCAGTGTGAGTACAGACTTTAAAAGCCAGGATGTGAGTGCAGACTTTAACAAGCAGGATGTGAGTACAGGATTTAACAAGCAGGATGTGAGTACAGACTTTAACAAGCAGGATGTGAGTACAGACTTTAACAACCGGATGTGAGTACAGACTTTTAACAAGCCAGGATGTGAGTCAGACTTTAACAAACCAGGACTGAGTGCAGATTTAACAAACCGGATGTGAGTACGGACTTTAACAAGCCAGGATGTGAGTGCAGACTTTAACAAGCCAGGATGTGAGTACAGACTTTAACAAGCCAGGATGTGAGTGCAGACTTTAACAAGCCAGGATGTGAGTGCAGACTTTAACAAGCCAGGATGTGAGTGCAGACTTTAACAAGCCGGATGTGGTGCAGACTTTAACAAGCAGGATGTAGTGCAGACTTTACAAGCCAGTGTGAGTGCAGACTTTAACAAGCCAGGATGTGAGTATGCAGACTTTAACAAGCCAGGATGTGAGTGCAGACTTTAACAAGCCAGGATTTGTGAAGCAGTGCTTCATCTATATAAACTTCAACTATATAAACTTCAACTATATAAACTTCAACTATATAAACTTCAACTATATAAACTTCACTTGAAACATCTGTTTTTTATATAATTATCTCTCCTATATCATGTAGAAAATCAAATGTCTATAATAATAATAATAATAACAATAATTATAATAATTATTAATTATTATTAGTAGTAGTTTTACTATTTGGATTATTATTAATAATATTAATATCAGCGCTCTATGACCTTGTGGGTTTAGCACTTAGTTTTGATTATAATAATAATTTATTATTATTATTATTTATTATATTTCATGGGCTCTGGTGGCCTGGTGGTTAACGCTCTCGCTTCACACGGTGAGGGCCTGGGTTCGATTCCCAGCCAGAGTAGAAACATTGGACGTGTTTCTTTCCACCTGTTGTCTATGTTCCCCATCAGTAAAATGGGTACCTGGGTGTTAGTCGACTGGTGTGGGTCGCATCCTGGGATACTGACATAAGGAGGCCTGTTCACAGACCGGGCCCCGGGGGCGTTGACCCCCGGAACTCACTCCAGATGGGAGCGCTAATCCCGTAGGGGTCACATAGCGCTTGAAAGAATGAGAGACAATCATGTTCGATCTAAGAAAACGGAAAAACAAATCTAATTCCTTGGATGAAAAGTCCGTCCCCGGCATCGAGAAACCTCCCTGTAGGAGTTGAAGCGACTAGAAACGTGTGGATCTCAGGGATTTGAGATGCTATTGGAGTGTGAAGGGATTAAGATGCCGACAGCAGTGGTGGTGGGGCTCTAGTCACGGTGGTGGGGCTCTAGACACGGTGGTCTGGCTCTACACACGATGGCCTGGATCTAGACACGGTGGTGGCGCTCTAGACAGTGGTATGGCTCTAGACGTGGTGGTGGGGCTCTAGATACGCTGATGTGGCTCTGCGCACGGTGGTCGGGCTCTAGTTACGGTGGTGGGGCTGCAGACTTTAGACACAACGATGTCTGCTGTGGTTTGAGCTTCTCACAGAAAGAGCTTCTTCGGTACTTCGCTAGGGAACAACACTTCACCTGAGAGCATCTGCAGTGCACTAAACCACACTCAGTCACTCGTCCTGACCTTATATACTCCAACACTTTCCCTCTGGAGGGCCTCCCCTCGGGTTTAGAATGGACTGGTCCAAGGAAATGCTGTGGATGAATCATTGGTCTGTTAGGTTTGAAACCTATCGACTACGGTATTGTTTTGAGGTTCTTGTGTCACCTGTTCTTCGCCAGCCATGTATATATATATATATATATATATATATATATAATATATATATATATATATATATATATATATATATATATATATATATATATTCCTCGGTGTATATACACTGATTAATATAAATCCTTCTTAAAATATCCTTAAAAATTCTGTTTAAAAAAAATCATGTGTTTAGAAAATATAAAAAACTAATTATCAGAATCTGTGTTTATGAAAAAAAATTAATGAAATAAAATTGTTTTACAGATTATGAATTGAAAATTGAAAATAATTATTAATAACTAAGATTTTCTTTCACCTGAAAATTTGAAAATTTTGAAAATTGGGCGACCAAAAGTTTAGATGTTAATTACTGGCAGGAAAAGTTTTTGCAAAGGCAACACGAGGAGAAAATTGTAACACCGAGGTCAAGGAAAAGTTCGGAC